TTGTCCTATGTTGATAACAAAAATTTCATTGAATACACCCTGCATAGATTTGGGAAATCATGATCTCTTTGCAACCCCATTTAGAAAAACCAATTCAGGAAAAAACTCTCCTTATTGCACAATAAGGTGCACACTATGTTATTTATTTGAGTTACAACTCCCACATGAAAGATTTTTTCTCACAAACCATTCTGACTTTCTACAAATGTTAACCTGCACAATAAGGTGCACACTATGTTATTTATTTGAGTTACAACTCCCACATGAAAGATTTTTTTCTCACAAACCATTCTGACTTTTTACAAATGTATGTACACATAATATGGCTAAATAAACGAATTGAATATCACCACTATGGAGTGGCCCGCTAGCAGCCCGAACCTGAATCCCATCGAACATGTCTGGGATCAACTGGAAAGAAGCATCCGAAGCCGTCAATACCAACCCACCACTTTGGATGAGCTGGAAATTGCTCTTCGAGAAGAGAGGGAGAAGGAAACGCAAGATGTTAAGCCATCAATTGTAACACGGAAAAACTTTTTGCTCACTTTTCATTTCAACAATTAAATGGTTTTGATTTTGGTAGTTCTTAAATTTTCTCAAATATACCCAATACACAACGAAAAAAATCAATAATTTAGCATGGATTTGGTAGTCATTTGCATTGCCTTTCAAAATAATATAGCATGTAAGTTTTGTAGCTGTTAAAATATTACAAGCTCACAAAGAAGTGATCAAGAGGAAGATTCAAGGCTTACTTTTGAAGATAACCACTTGATGATTGAAACACGTGTTGAGGTGATGAAAAATAACGATTTGGTTCTGGGATAAAACTGCAATATTATTAATTACTAAACCAAAGGTTCCAAACATTGCTTCACAGAAACTATTCTTCTTTGTTATAATTGTCCATTTTCCAATTGCAGATTTCGGAATGTCACATGTGTTCACTTCAAAAACCAAATTGAAAGCATTTCGTGGAACTCTACGATATGCAGCTCCTGAGGTACTTCTCTGCAAAAAATATGGACCAAAAGCAGATGTGTGGTCACTGGGCGTTGTATTATACAGGATTGTGTCGAACGCTCTTCCCTTTGAAAGTTCAATATTACCAGTACTTAGGGAGCAAATGGTTCGTGGCGAGTACGAGGTACCTTTTTTTTTGACATCAGACTGCGTGAATCTCCTAAAGAAACTTTTGGTTCTAGATCCTACCAGGAGGGCAGGCTTAGACACCGTCGCAAAAGATAAATGGATGAACCAAGGATATGAGAGCGACGATATTAAGCCGTGGATGGAGCCCGAACAGGATCTGACTGATCCGAAGAGGATAGCATCTCTAGTTTGTTTGGGTTTTAATGAAATCGATGTCGAAAGCTCTCTGAATTCTCAGAAGTATGACGATGCGTTCGCTACGTATTTACTGTTGGGGAGGAGCGTCGCAAACTTCAAAAGTAATGGAATTTGAAGTGATGGTGGATTATCGCTAGGAATGATGTAGTAGTAGTCTTTTTTTTATTTATGTTACGTTAAAATTTCTTAAAATTATTATACATAATGTAGCTAAGTGTAAGAACGAAGTGATAATAAATCAATGAATAAAATACTCTGTAGGTATAGTGTTTCCAAAAAGACTCTTTGCTAACATCATCAATTAGTTAACTATGAAGAATGACAAAGAACATGGTATGGATGTCACAAAAAGTGAATGTATAAAGCTTATTAAAACTATATTCTCATCTTTTTTGATATGCTGTAGTGACGCTTGTTTGAAAGTTATTTTGATTTAGAAGAGTTAATACTAAGATGTTGGGCCAATCTTGAGAGAGATAATGTTTTTTAGATTTTTTGTAATGTCATACCAACGACGAATTCTACAATATCCCCATATCTAAACGTTAAGTCAATATTTGTTTTAAAAAAAATGTGACTGGCCTGTTGATTACGAATTTTGTTTACTCCACTGAAGAGTATGTGGCTGTGTGACTGGAATCTCAATTGTTTGGAGTTACTGAAACTTCTGTAAGCGTCAATGACAAAATCATACGTTTTGGGAAAATCGAAAACGGTCACCGACCAATTAATGTCGTTCTTATAAATCGTTAACAGGCTGGCGAGTAGAATTTGTCCATTAAATACTTCACAATACACCGAAAAACATTAAAAAAACTGAAACCGAACAGCCCTTCGCTTTATTACCAAAACGTGTAGGTCTTGGAACTAAATTGACTGACCTCAGCTTGAATGTTAGCAATTGTTCTAACAATATCATTATCTTCAATAATTGAATAGAACTGGCCGATACTTGATGAAAATCCATATTTAAAAAACTAATAAATAGAGTTTATTCTATAATTTTCACTATAAGGGTTTTACAAAAACCGCGACACGTGTTTCGCTATACAATAGCTTCTTCAAGCATAACTAAGAGTTACTTCTAAATTACAACTTTATATACTATAACCTAGTACCTANATCTGGCTCGCCACGGTAGAATGAAAGACAGTGATGCGAGAGCGGAGTTTCGGCAAATTGTCTCTGCGGTCCAGTACTGTCACGAAAGGAGAATCATTCATAGAGATTTGAAAGCAGGGAACGTATTGCTAGATGGTGAAACGAACATTAAGATCGCGGATTTCGGATTGTCACAGGAATTCTCTCCATGAAACCAATTAGAGGTGTTTTGTAGGACTTGAAAATATGCAGCACCTGAGATATTTTTACACAGAAAACATGATCGACCTAAAGTAGATGTGTGGTCGTTAGGCATTTTATTATACAAGATGGTGTCGAACACTTTTCCCTTTGACCGTTCGACAGACATTGGGAAGTAAAAGTGGCTCTTGGCGAGTACCAGATCTCTTGTTGTGTGACGCAGGGGTGTGTCAATCTCCTGAAAAAGCTTTTGGTTCCAGATCCTACCGAGAGGGCAGGCCTAGACACCGTCATGAAAAACAAATGGATTAACAAGGGATATGTAAATGAAGAACTTAAACCCTGCATAAAGCTCGAAGAGGGCCTGACTGATTCGAAATAGATAAAATCTCTAGTTTGTTATGGGTTCCAATAAAAACGACGTGGCAGGCTCCCTCAATTCACAGAAATATGACGATGCGTTCGCTGTATATTTGATGTTGGGAAGGAGCGTCATATACTTGAAAAGTGATGAAGGTGACAGTTTATTATCGCTGAAGAATATATAATACTTTTTTTTTTTTATTTATTTGGGTTGCCCTAATGTGCGAACGTTCATTAAAAATATAATACATAATGTAAGTACTAAGTATTAATAAATAAATAATTAATAATATATAGTTAGTTTGAGATTTCAATATGTTGAATAATTAAAAATGAGCGGTAGAAACAAATGGAATAATATGGATATCGCATAAAATAAATTACTAAAACTTCAATAAGTAAGGATCAGATGTTACTCATACACATATATCAATATTTGTTTATTATATCTTTTGATATGCTGCCATAAAGTATGAATACTTTTGTTGTTTCCCAAAGAACCAGGTAGTTTGTTAAATTACATTAGTCCTATGAAAAACAGACTATTCATTGGTTGATTTTAATTACTTAAATTATTTGAATAGGCAGTTTCGTTCAGACGTGTACATTTTAATTTTTAATCGAGAACACAATCACGATGTCCAAAGACCTGTGGTTTTGATTAATTTTGTTTAATATACATGTGATAATGTATATTAAATTATGGTGTCCAATGCTCGTGATGTGTAAATTGTGTTAATCATATTTTATTTATATTTTGCATGTACTTGTTGATCTTGGGTGCACACTAAATTGTATATTTGAGTTACAACTCGGACATAAGAGATTTTTTCTCACAAACCATTCTGACTTTCTAAAAATGTATATATAAATAATATGGTGAAATAAATGAATTGAATATAATAATAATGATAACGTTTATTGTGCAAAAACAAGTTATATACACAAAGGAAAAAGGGTTAGCCGGGGGCTATCTTCCACCCGTCCCATAATTAAGAAAAAAAAAAGCATACAGTAAGACTATAAGTAACAGTTACAATAGACACAAAAATAATATAAAAAAACTATTATGAAGATAATATAAAAGATTGCAATAATTTTTGAACATCTAAGAAATGAATTTTCAAAGTTTTTTTGAATTGATATATAGACAAATGCATATACGGTAATAAATTATTTAGATACTTCGGTCCAAAGTAAGAAAAACATCCCTCAAATTTGGTGGTAACATGATATGGAATGGTAAATGTATCTTTCCTTATATTGATAGAATGATTATCAGATCGCTTACTAATCAATCTGAACAAGTAATTAGGAGTTTTGCTTTCCAATAGTTTATATAAGAATACAGATATGAGATAACGAATTCTAAACTCAATATTCAGCTGATCTAATTTCAATAAATATGGAGTTACATGATTACGGTAGTTTATGCAGCACACAAATCTCATACAAGCATTTTGTATACGTTGAAGTTTGTGTTTATTATAGTCTGGTAAGAAGTTGTAATACACTGAGCTGCAATATTCAATATGGGGATAAATCAATGATTGAACTAATTTCAGCTTTGTTTCTTGAGAAAGCTGGAACTTAAACTTGTATAAGGATTTCAGTTTAAAAAAACAAGTTTTGTAAATGTGTTTAACGTGCTCGTTGAACGAGAGATTGTTATCANCCATTTGCATTGCCTTTCAAAATAATATAATAAGTTTTTCAGCTGTTAAAAAATTACAAGCTCATATAGATGTGATCAAGAGAAAGATTCAAAGCTTACTCTTGAAGATGATCACTTGATGATTGAAACACGTGTTGAGGTGTTGAAAAATAACGGTTTGGTCTTGGGCTAAAATTACTAAACCAAAGGTTCCATACATTGCTTCACAGAAACTATTCTTCTTTGTTATAATCGACAGTTTTCCGCGGTTTTAAAATTATCCGGCTCGTAGGACCAACATCTCAAAACCTAAATGAAACTACAAAAACATGTACTTCCTTGTGTATTTATTCCATTAGGTTAACATAACCTATAACATAACTGTTTCAATATACACAGGCGTCTTTGAAATTGGTAACGTTCAGCGAGGAGAAGTAGTCGTCATGCAAAAACCTAACGATATCTTCGACTTTACATAGATTAACCTTACTGTCTACGTTGACTATATTTTTACAGAAACTAACTTGCTTCGTGACATCTTTTCCGTTGGAAAGTACTCGGAAGTATATTCCCTTAGCGTTGTTGAACTCCTCTTTCTCTTGATACACTTCGAACACAATACGAGCGGCATATCTCAACAGAAACGGATCGTTCTGCATACCCAAAGCGGTCGAGAGCTGTTCCAAGGTATGATCGTGTCCTGAATAAAGGACAAGGTAAGGGCCGCTATTCGATACCTACAATAAAGGAAAACCAATAAAGCCGAGTGTTGGGGGAATATAAATGCTGGATTACCATATGCAGCATCTGTTGGACAATGTGTCTCAACAAGCCGTACGATTTCAGCAGACAATACCTTTTCCATGATATGTTCCTCCATTTTTGGTAGTTCACCCAGTCTGTATAAGAGAAAATTCCAAGCACATTCTGTCTTCTGGAAAAAAAAGTATTTTATCGATGGCTCCATTTCTGGAGAGTATAGAGGACATTCTTTACTGGTGCATCATTCATAACGACCGGAGACAAACTTTTGAAGGATCTATATTTTGTGAAAAGTTTGGTTTGACTAGATTATTATTTATGTAAGGCAGAAAACTAGATTTTTGGATGCTTTCGAAATAGCAAAGTCCATACTATAATGTAAATATCGATTTGATTGAGAATGTTCAAAAGAAATTATTAAGGAATTGTGCTTTTCACTTTGGTATTCAATGAAATGAATATGAGTACAGTCAACTCTTAACCAAGTTGAATGTTCATTGGAAGATAGGAGAACTTCTATGAACTTGAGTCTCCTCTTCAAATTAATAAATAGTGATATAAATTGCCCGGAACTACTTCAACTAATTACGTTTCATGTCAAACAAAAAGATACGATAAATCCTGACATTTTTCCATACCAATTATGCTTTGAACAGTCCGATTCCTCGTATTCTGAAGCTGGGAAATCAATATCATAATAACTTAGATCTGTTTAATGTGTCACTTCAGGTTTTTGAAAATCAATTGAAAAGGCTATAGCTTTCCCTAAGCTTTTCTTTAGCATACCATTTTCTTTGTAAGTACCAGATTTGTTACATCTTTTTTCTTGTAAATACCAGATTTGTTACATCTTTTTACTTGTAAGTACCAGCAATGATTCATATTTTAGTAATGTAATCACTAGACATAAGAATTTATTAATATTTTGTATTTCACACTTCAGTAGATGAACAACGTATGTACGAGCACAAAATCCCATGTATTTCCTTATGTAGCTAAACTTTTTGCAATTTTTGGTTCAAACAGGAGTGGGGGAAACGTGTGACGTCATCAACGCAGGATACCATCTCCATCTCTCTTTGCATCGATTACGTCACACGCGTCTCTCGCTCTTACACACACATACACATCTTTACATGAAATATTAATTATTTCCCAAATCTAAGTATATTTTCCTATCTTCAATATGATAATGATAATTACAGTCTACGGAAATAAAAAAAAATGCTGTCGAGTATAATGAATGAGTCAATTTCGGTCCCGACAAAACTAACGCTGTAATCGTATTCTGAAGCTGGGAAATCAATATCATAATAACTTAGATCTGTTTAATGTGTCACTTCAGGTTTTTGAAAATCAATTGAAAAGGCTATAGCGTTCCCTAAGATTTTTTTTAGCATACCATTTTCTTTGTAAGTATCAGATTTGTTACATCTTTTTTCTTGTAAATACCAGATTTGTTACATCTTTTTACTTGTAAGTACCAGCAATGTTTCATATTTTAGTAACGTAGTCACTAGACATAAGAATTTATTAATACTTTGTATTTCACACTTCAGTAGATGAACAAGGTATGTACGAGCACAAAATCCCATGTATTTTCTTATGAAGCTAAACTTTTTTGCAATTTTTGGTTCAAACAGGAGTGGGGGAAACGTGTGACGTCATCAACGCAGGATACCATCTCCATCTCTCTTTGCATCGATTTCGTCACACGCGTCTCTCGCTCTTACACACACATACACATCTTTACATGAAATATTAATTATTTCCCAAATCTAAGTAAATTTTCCTATCTTCAATATGATAATGATAATTACAGTCTACGGGAAAAAAATGCTGTCGAGTATAATGAATGAGTCAATTTCGGTCCCGACAAAACTAACGCTGTAAATACCCAACATTCGCAGTTACCTTCAATATCTTACGTTGGTGTAGAGGCTAAGGACAATGTCTACCGCGCGGACGTCGTGGGTTCGAATCTAATAACTATAAACTTTTTTAAATTAAAATCACGTGACAAGGGGGCCTGAGCGCTGATGCAGAATCCCAAGGGGGACTGAGCGGTGATGTGGAGTACTAAGGGGGCCGAGTTCCATGCTTGAATCGCTACGATACTCGTTCCATCCTGCGTTGATTACGTCACACGTTTCCCCCACTCCTGTTTGAACCAAAAATACATGGGATTTTGTGCTCGTACATACGTTGTTCATCTACTCACTTCGCTAAATGTATTGTGGAATTGTAAATTGTAATGTAGACATCAGACATGAGCATTCAAAAATACTTTGTAGTTCTTTGTATGTTTTTGTAAGTTGGCTTTGCCGTTAAATTAATAAATTGAAATTCACTTTATTTTTTGAACAGACTAGTTTACCCATACATTCCTTTTTTCAAAAAGTACTTTTCTGACAGAATCCCAATATGGAAATCATGCTTTTTTACTGGATACCTTGTGAATTGGAGAATGTCTGAAAACTTTCATATGCAGTGACGGCTCGTGCATTGGAGAACAGGGGAGGCTAAAGTCACAANTAAGGGAATGCTAGTCATAAAGACTATATACACACAGAAAATCCCGCCGGAGGCGGGAACATTTTTATGTTGTTGCACGCTTTGCTTAATACTAAAGTTAGGGCATGATAATGCGTAAAAATTGCATGAGGAGCTATGGACTTTATTTTAGTTTGTAAACCATTTAAATAGCCGGCCATGACCGCAGCCCCATCATAGGTTTGCGCAATTAAATTATAGGTGTCACACGTACGAATTAAAAAATTACACAAATCGTCAGCTGTGCGTCCAGATGAAACATCATGAAAACAGATAAAACGTTTTACCACATTACCATCTTTGACATATCTAAAAACGATTGAAAGTTGTGATGTACAGGTAATATAGGTAGTTTCATCAATTTCCCATGCAAAAAAAGAAAAACTTTCAATCTCCTTGCTTATATTTTCCTTAATAATATATGCCACACTGTCTATAAGCTCATTTTGGATGGTTTTTGAGGTGCCTGAAAAAACGCTACCGTTTAAGAAAGTGCCAAATTGTGAATCACATTTGCCCCATAACATTAAAAGTTCCTTGTAATTGCCGCGATTAATCGAATCTTCGGTTTCGTGTCCACAAAAGCTAATTCTTGGGAACCCAAATAAATCGTAATATCGATGAGTCTTTTTAAATTCGACCGAGTTTCCCTAACCTGATTATTAAAAGAAATTATGGTCTCTTTTTGAGCTGTATCTAAAGCTGTTGCTATATTTTGTTTGCTAAACAATTTTTATTTACAGGACGAAAATATATGCAGAACAGAAACCAACTGGAGGCTAGCCTCCTCTAACGCTATAATTTTTGCAACTGAAATTACAAATCGGGACGTATGTCGGTGGTTGGATCGGTCTCGTGGAGCCTGTGTTTTTTAAAGAGGTCGGAGGCTTGGCTCCCTTGCAACGTATAGCTTTTATGATTTCTGGTTGATGGTTTATTCGTTCATGGCGGTGCGTTTGAGTTTTGTTGATGCAGGACACAGTGTGGTACGTACTACGTAGTGAGTGATAGTGTTTTTTCGGGCATAGTATGTATTTATTATAAAAAATAATGATAAAATAATGACAACCAAGCATTTTCAGAAAAAGATAATCATAATTATTTGTCAATATCTTTTAATTTATTGCGATGAATAGCCTCAAATTTTATGGGGAGGCTAAGCCTCTTTCGCCTCCTCTGAAGAGCCGCCGCTGTTCATATGAAACATTTTTGACAACTTCGCTTCTTCAACTTGAACTTCTAGTGCAAGCTCGCTGAATATGCTATGTATTGCCAATGGAAATAAATTTATTATTATTATTATCATCAACCTATTTTATCTGAACTCACCTGATACAATTCATTGGTGATTCACACGGCAACCCACTTCTGTGACATACAAAAGTCAAAAGCGCGTCTTTAACAGAATGAGGATCCGTTATCGATACAGCTTGATCGGCGCTGTCTGAAAATAAAGATTTTCCTGTCGAATGTGCCAACGCAGAAACAGCCGGATGAGATCGTAGCTGATGCGAGATACTTCTTTTCACTTCCCTGAAATATGTAATGAAGTTTGAGTTTTGATTTTTCGAAACTCAAAAAAAAAATTATTACTTGTATTGGACAGACAGCAGACATTAATATCGATTCATGAGTACTTCAAGGAAGTATACTAGGACCTCTCTTTACTTTGTACTTGAATGATTTTGAACTGTTCATTGACTGTGTTTATCAACCTTTTTGCCATCATACGAGGTGGTCCCAGAAAGTGGTCCAACTAAGATAACACAAACATTTTTGAAAAAAAAATGTATTTATTTTTCAACCTACTGGTTGCTGGCGGGCGGGCCTAGTACTTTCGAGAATGAAGACTAGAAACTTCTCGCTTCGCACTGAAGCTTACCGCCATCTATTGTACAGTTTGACAACTATCGGACAGTAAATAGTTACTGTCTAGTCCCCTAGATGGCGTTATACGAGGAAACGCGCGTTAAGCGTAAAGGAGCAGTAAAGTTTGTGTTAAAAGCAAAAAAACATTTTCAAATTAGCCATCGNCACTTGCGGTACGGAGTTTGTTTCTGGGGGAGCAGCTGTCAAAACTAAATGAGTCAAGTTTTCACAATTCAAAAAAGAGCAGTGAGATTAATTACCAGAGCTGGAGTCCAAGATTCCTGTAAGCCCCTTTTTTCAACTCATCATATCTCAACAGTCTGCCTCTTTATTTTAGAAACAGTGCCTAATGCACAAAAAGCACAAATATAACATCTCGAACTCAACTCAAAGTTATGCCACTCGTATCACATTCAATATTCCTCTTCCTATCCTGTCAACAGCACAAATTAAAAATTCGATTCTTTATAATAGCAAAAAATATTTTGATCATCTCCCCCTTTCAATCAGAAAGTTAACATGCTACAGTTTCGAAAAAGAGTAAAAAAATGTATGCTAGATAAAGCTTATTATACTATTGAGGAATTTCTTTTGGATGACTTCGCAACTTATAATTCCAACTTGCCATATTAATACCTTGTTTTAAATTCTTGACCTATATGTTAATGTTTCAGATTGTTTTAGTTCTTAAGTCTGTTTTGTCAACATATAAATTTTTTTATCACAGACCTTTACCATAAACTTTTTAAAGTGTGCTTGAGCCATATTAATATCTTGTTTTAATTCATGACCTTTATTTTATTGTTTCAGATTGTTTTAGTTCTTAAGCCTGCTTTGTTAACAGAACCTAAACTTTTATGACAATAAAGCATTTCTGATTCTGATTAAGAAACTGAGTATGACATATTATAAAGTCTGCTTTTTTTATTGAGTACACTAACCTCCACATTTTTTCTGTAACGGGGCAGCCACAATCTTTGAAGCAAAAACTCATACTCTGGCTCTCGTGGATATTTATCTTGTCCAAAGTCTCATGAGGGATGAATCCGAATAAGAGAGCCAAAGCAGATTGGAATGTTCTTCTATAACGGGTACTGTAGATAATCACATCACTGGGACTCAAAGTGTTCAATTTGCTCCAAATGTTAGAGTAGCTCACCTTGAGTATGTAGCCCAGTTTTAACAGTTGGGTGACACCTGTGAACAAAATATGAAGTAGGAAAAGTCATTTATTTATTTATCAACAAATCACTGTTTTAAAAGAAATCCTACTTGTAGTATTGCTGTCTAATATGTATGTCTATTTTTAAGTGATATATACAGGGTGTATCTTAAGTAATGTCATTAATTTCAGGTGGTGATTACTTGTCATATTTCACGAAAAAAGTCTTGCGGTATTTATGGACTTAGAAAAAGCTTTCGATAATGTGTCGCCTGAAACCTTACTTGAAAAAATGTGTAATTATGGTATTATGCACAAGTCATGCTTTGGAACTAGTGCAGGATTATTTAAAAGAACGAACACAAACTGTTGAAATCGGTAGCAAACTCGGTGCAACATTATAAATCACTGCGGGTAGATATACCTCAGGGAACAGTACTTGGCCCAATCTTTTTTCTTGCTTTCATAAACGTAATAACACAGATTGATAAATTTCACGGTCATATAGTGTGTCTGCCACGGTCTTCACTGGTGAAAGTTGCGATTGAGTCTATAAAACTTCTGAGATTAATCTGAGAAAGATTCTTCTCTGGATGAATATCGAGTCTGAGTGTGAAAAAAATAAAATTTATGACTTTTTCACCCAAATCAGATGGTCAGCCGCATATTAATGAACTTAAATTGTACAAAATGACCTGCACATAAAGTTTTAATTGTAAATGCCCCGATATAAAAAAACAGTACCCATTAAATATTTGTGTATTGTTACTGACCAACATATGTGATGGGACAAACAAGTATCATATGTAACACAAACGATGTGACTACTCATGCATAAATTTTGTATTGTCAGAGATATTCTTTTAACTTATTTCTAATACATCAGTCTTTGGTAGAATTTATAATAAGATATTGTATAACAGCATATTACCCACATTAATAATATTATATTATAATTATGTTATATTATTACAATTAATTTACATTCTACCTATCACCAATTGAATTTTTAACTATTTCATTAGTGTATTTATTTACTGTCAATGTCTTCCTTGAACTTGAAACGAGTGTTCAATCACATATCGAGATTACTTCATTCACATAATAACTTTCCTTACCCTCAAATGGTACACTGTATTGAATTGTATTATTGAAAACG